ACATGCTGTTCAAGTGAACTGTGGCAAAGGTATTCTTTTGTCATTGTTCACCATTACTGGTTGGACTTGCTACTTTAATTGTAAATAGTCTTGAAAAAGTCTTGTAAATTGGGACTTGTGAATAGTCTTGAAAGGACTTGTGAATAATATTACTACAACTGTACTTTTGATGCCCATCAGCACCATGTTTTATCACTTGATGGACACCATGGAGCCGTGGTACCGGCACGGCATGCGGGAGGAGGGCGCCATTCACCGCAATGCCAGCTTCACCTCAGCCGAGCCCTTTGCCAAGCCCCAGGAGTGCTCACCTTCCTCCCCACTCATCAAGAAGCTCACCAAGATCCAGGACGTGGTGCTGAAGATGCACGACAGCGAGCTGCACATGCACCTGACCCGGCTCGACATTCAGCCTCAGATATTCGGAATGTAGGTCTCTGTGGACTGTTGGCCATAGAGTACCGAAGTGTGACGTCATTGTGAACCAGAAAGTGCAGTGCAAACGAATGGAGTACGCGCCCGTGTCGGTTCATGCGCTCATGCCTTTTACACACTAATTGTGCACATGACGTATTCACTTCGGTACTCCATTGTGAATCGTCGACACAACCTGATAAAATGAGTAGCATGTCACCAGAACACAGTCAGAGACCTCTTAACCCCTTCATGGCTGGATTATTTTGACCGTGACTGNCATCAACAGTATTTCCCCATTGACCAGAAATTCCAGCCAAAACATTTTATCCATGTGAAGAAGCATGCAGGCTGTAGTTGGAGTGAAATCACAGGGCAGATCTTGATTTTGAGGAAATTATCATTTCCTGTTGCAATCCAAAATGGTTGGAATGCAATTTTCCTGTCGGCGTTGCCATTATAGTGACCTTTCACTTCGTGTCTGTTTAATATTGGTTTCATTCCCGGTTTAGTCAGGATGTCGATTCACATGAAGAGCAGGAGTGCTCAGGTGACGGCAAAAAAGTTAAAAACCATCAGGGCAGCACTGCTAACATACTTACTGGCCCTCCCCCCAACCTTACCGTGCTTTTACAAGCTTTAGTTTTGAGCTAGGTTTGGGTTTTTTACACGTGGTTACGTACCTGCAGAAATGTGATTGCTATAAAAAGTCAGGAGATAGGTAACATATTGTAACAGTGCGATCCCTTGCAAAGTGCCCCGTGCTGGGGGCTATGTATTCAAATGTTTCCAGACATTGTAATAAGACAAGCACCTTGTAAGTATCTGTTATACTCTTCTGGATAATGTTTTACTTCGCCATTGCACAAATAAGCCGTTGGCGTTTTCTTACCTTTTGGGTGTCTGACTGAACAAGGAGCATCTTTCTTTATTGATTAAGAATTATATAACTTAGTAAAATATCAGAAAGGATGAATATGTACCTCCTATGTGTCAGTTCTAATCTTTTCCGATGCTGAAATTCTCAATGCTCTTCCATTTAGACGATGGGTGAGGTTATTGTTTGGCCGTGAGTTCACCTTGCAAGACCTCCTTGTCCTGTGGGATACGATATTTGCGGACAGTGTCACGCTGGACCTCATCGACTACATCTTTGTCGCCATGCTGATCCTTGTCAGGGAGCTGTGTGAGTTTAAATCCAATTCAGTTCTGCGGCTAGGAGTCCCTTAAAGTAAAGGAAAGTTGACATGAAATTTACGCTTTAATCAGGCATGGGAATATTTCCTGTTTAACCGGAATTCCGTTTTTTTTCCCTTCAAATTTGTGGTCTTCGAGTTCAGTGTAAAACCGGAATAAAATTTAGGGGGGAAGTAAAGGGGGGGGTAAATGTTGGTTGACTACGCGGCCCTCAAAATTTCCCTAATTCCCCGTAAAATTTGTACGTTGAAATAATTTGATTCACACATTGCTTCAGGACAGTATAAGCAATGCCCTTCGAAATGTATGTAGGAAACGAGGAATGAATTTCGCAGATTGCCACAAACCTAAATTCTCTTTACGTAGCCAAAGGAGGGAACCATTGACAAGTGCAGTCGCTCACGCTTCGCGATCGCATGAATGCCCTGTGTCACATGAAAATCCGACTCCGATAAAAATCAGACCCTTACCTGTTATTGGTTAATTCCTCTCACATGACTGGCCATTCTCCTAATTATCATACGTACATGTATGCATGCCCATTACTCCTAATGGGTCCTTGTTTCATAGCGACGTACGTCCATGGCAGCGCTGCTGCGTGGCCATGTGTGAACTGGCTTTTGGAAATTGGTACAAGTACAAGTACGTATACAAATCCACATGCAGTCAGAGAAAAAATTGAAATCATGGCGGAAGGAAAGAAGTTTGTTGAGCGTGGGGCTGCCGATCCGAAAGAGATTGACAAATCAGTAAAACACAAGTGGAATTGGTCATGGTACGACAAATTGTTACTGGCTAAAATGGAAGATGAGCACGTGGTGGGTGACTGCTTTTACAAGCTTTACAATCCTGGAGAAGCATGGTGCGAGTGGTGTTGTATTCGTATCAAGTACGGCAGGCCTCCTTCCAGAGCTAAAGTATTGATACAGCATGCAGCCAGGTACGATAAACACCGCAAACACTTCCATGAGGGCTGGGCAGAATGCACTGGAATGCCTAGCTGCAAAAAGAAAGAAGATGTCAAATCAACATCCTTACATTTAAACGGCCATTTCAGGTTTTACGAGTCCAATTGAAAAAAAAAATTAAGAGTAATTTAAAAATAATGAGAAATATCCTTACCAGTTGAGAAGATTTTGCTTCAATAAATTAGAGGAAAAGGGGCCATGAATTGCCTCAGATTGCACCACAGAGCATCTACAATCCAACGTTTTCCTGGGGCCCGCCCTTAAGCGGGCCCCGGACCCCAAGCCGTAAGGGCTTTGTGCTCAGCGCTCGCAATAGTCTCCCGTGATAAAATTCATCACAAATTATTTTCAGATTTTTTCTTCATGCCCATTCACGTGCCTGTTTAATGCGATTGGCCCGGTAGTCTGATACATGCTTATTTATGACCCACTGTGCTCAAAGTTGTCTGTAGAGGGTTTGCATGGCTGCCATCTTGCAGGCCAGTGCTTTTGTTCCACTGTGTTTGCACAAAGGAGGTTTCCCTGAGGAACAAAAGAGCTGCTCTGCAAAATGGCCAGCCCGCAAAGCCTCTGTAGTCGTTGAGATCATACAGTGGGCCCACACCTTCATTTTTTTGTATGTGAGAGGCCATCATAGATTGTACCATACTTTGGGCTTGAACCAGTTGCATCTTTAATATATGAGGAAGTGAGAAAGGAAACATGAAAAATATGCAATCGTGCATTGGATCAAGAAGTTTAAAAAGGTTTGCCATTTCCTGGAAATTATCATTACTTGTGCTTAATCTACAAATCTGAAAATATGTTTGTAATGATTGGGCTTACCAAATTGGTCCTTGTGTCAGAATCTAATTCCAGAATATTTGTGTCTTTTTCGGGGGTCCCTATAGCAACCATTTAAATCTTGAAAAGGTTAAAATCCACTGCCCATTGCTTCTTCTTTACTGTGGCTCTTTTGTTAATCTGCAGTGTTATCGGGAGACTATGCAGACTGCATGTCACTATTAATGCGATTCCCAATGGTCGGTGATGTACGTTGTCTGGTCGATAAAGCCCTGCATCTCAGAGACCCCAAGGTAGAGAACGATTTTTCCTTTTTATTTTTGTAACTGGTTTGGTTGTGGTGTATGAGGGTATTCATAAGAAATGGCAGTTGTCCACAAATGATGTCCAGATAACCTTTACCCTCCCAGATACCTCAAAATCCCCAGAAAGTTTTAAGAATTTTGAAGGATTGAAGTAGGTAGAGGCTATCCTCTGTTTCTTCACATGGGGCTTGACGCCCCCTTTGAAGTTTTAGCGGACAACCTTGGGGGGGCCTGATCTCAGAATCGAGGTCTTAGTTATTAAACACTGACCCTCCCAGATCTTTGGTGATGCTCTATAAAGTTGGAGAACTTTCAGGGGACTGAAGATGGTGGGTGTCTAGCCACTGTTGCTTCGCATGGGGCTTGATGTCCCTTAATGAAGCTCAGACTAGGAAGAGCGCGGCATTTGTTCCTGCACAATGGAGAATTTCTTTGACGATATTGGAAGGGTCCTAGCAACAGTTGTCATAAGATGTGTAATCCTTGGGATTCTGTTCTGCTCTGTATTAAATTCGCCATCCTTACCATTGATATTCGGATCTTTTGTCTCATCCATCAAAGGGAAGCTTGTAGAGCGTGCATTACTGTAACAGGCAGTTCCCCCCACTTTTCCAGAAATTCCCCCGACCGCCCAACTACCAGTTCCAAATCTTGCAGCACAGCGATGCAGGTGTTGTCATACCATCCAGCGCCCGGTCGCCACGGAGACAGTATGCCAACGGTGCGGTCTTTTCCGGATCCTCGGCCAACACCAACCCAAGTGGAACGCTGAGGAATAAGAAAGCGTCCGTGATGACCTCAGGTCTGAGCGGGTTGAAGAGAATTGCCAACAAAGGGAAGCAAAACGAAGGTAACATCCTTATCTTGTCAAACCTCCATCGAGTAAAAGTCAAATAATGTTTCCACATTTACCCTGAACCATAACCATCCAGGTGCTGTTAGTGTATAATCACATGAGTCTTCCTGCATTCGGCATGGTAAAGATTAAATTTCCACTTAAGTGGACAAAATCTTAAGAAGTGTTCTTGTGTATAAAGTTCTCTGGTGACTTTCATTGCTTTTGTTTGTCACAAAATCTTGAGATTATTCACATTACATATACCAAACCTAGTCTAGTATAGCTCTTGCTGTGAATAGTTCTTTGATAAGAATGCTCAGTAGAGTACATTTTAAGGCCAGTAAACAATACAGTTACCAAACTTGGGGCGTAAAAACCTGAACTGTATTTGTTTTTGTCTGAAAGGGATTCAGAACATCTGAATTCACTACAGTTTAAGGAAGTTGTTTTGAGCATTCTAAAAACTTTTAACAAGTGATTTCTTTTGGTTTTGTGCGTGAAACTGCATTTTTACAAGCAGATAAGGAGTCTGCGCAGGGGCCCTCCCATCCCCTGGCATCACCAGCCGACGTCGTGTCGGAGGTCAAGTCTCGGCCCCTCAAGGTCAAAACAATAAGCCCGCAGCAGGAGACCAACATGCAGTCATTCACCTCGGATGGCATCGCAGGGCTGACTAGCAACGCCCAGGCCCCAAAGAAAGATAACCTGGGGGGCCTCTTCTCCAAATCGAGGTCTGCTGGAAAGAAGAACCAGCAGAAAGAGGTATTGAGAGTTAAGGAGTTTTTCTTTCAATGAGTTCATTTTGTACATGCCAGCGATCAACCATTTGTCATTGGGTTACCTTGTTCCTAGCTTCCAAGCCTTTGCAGCCAGTCTCCATTAATAGACTGATTGCGCCCGCTAAGTCACGTGAATTATAGTGGGTTAAATATCAACAAACACGGTGTCCACCATAAGGAATGTGTTTCATTTGTATCATTTACCAGAACGAAAGCTGACAGTAGGTACCGTACACAGACTACTGATGTGCTGGGCACTGTAATTAGCTTTATTTGTAAAACAACACTCAAAACACACTTTGCTATGGGAGTGATACTCACTATAGGTCACTTGATTTAGCAGCGCATTTGATCTGTTAGTTTCAGTCAACAAGGAGTAGTCTTGATCAGACTTGCAGATTGTTTGGGCCTTACCTCAGTTTGGTTTGAAGCCACTGGAAATAAGAAAACAGCTCAAAACCAACAAACTGTATGTCAGTACCATCTACTGTTGGGATTTTATTTTGTACCGGAGGGTTTTTTGGGGGGTTAGCTGATTAATCAAGGTTTGGTTATTTTCATTTACAAGTGACCACCTTGGATAGTAGAGTTGTTCTCAGTCCTCAAGCCTTGACAGCAAGTGTTAAATGATTAGTTGGAGTTTCAGATCATGAGGACCTTACCCAAGTTTAATTGAAGCCACCTAACCAGAAAGAAAACTGCTGAAGCCTTTGCTGTTTGGGCTGTTGCCAACAGCTGTTGTATTGATATGTAGAGATTTTGCTGCCAAGGATAGTTTGAGTTCAAAGAAATTAGTAATGTTACTAGTGTCTAGGTATAATTAAAAAAATCTGTCAAGCATACAATTCCAGTCAGATTTAAGTTGGAATCCAAGATGTTGGTCATTTAGTTCCTTGTCGGTGATTGGCCCACAATGATGAGATGTTCTGATGATTTTTTTTTTGTCTGCCATGCAGCAAGAGATGGACTTCCACAACCAAGTGGCCTTCTTGCAAGGCAAGATGAACGACGTCCAGAACATGTGCCGGTACTGTGCCACCAAAATGGAGGCTCACCTCAGTGAGTTGTAGCTGTCTGTGCCAGATGCAAATGCAATGGGCGTAGTGTTGTGACGGCGTTGGCTAAAACAGTGTTCCTCTCTTTTTGAGTTTTGACGAAAACGCAGGCTGGGCTGAAAGGAATGCACAAAACAAAACGTTGTGGCAGCGTGATATTTGACCAACTTCAGCTGCGCATAAATAGGCCACGTTGTTCAAGACTGCATGTGTGATACTTGAATCACACATGTAGAATGAAGTTGTTGCATGAAATACTGACGGCGTAATGATGCACGTTTGTCTTGCAGAATAACATACACAGAAACTGAACTAGTCACATCTGTGAATGCCTACATTTGGTTTCTGTTTCTCAAACCTCAACTTGTGCATGAAAGACTGGTTAAACTGCACGATGCAGAAATTGGCTTAAAAAGTGGATTTCTCAAACTTCATCGATTGCTGTGAAGTAGTGAAATAGTATTCCCAGCCAAAAGTGGTCTGAAAATCCCCAGATAACAATATAGCTCATCTGCTTGTCTGGGTGACTTTCTTTCGACAGTGCAAATCCAGGATGAGATGGTCAAACTCAAGCTGACTCAAGAAGATGAACTCCTCTTAGCTGTGGCAGGGCTCAAGCAGGTTAGTTCACGTGTGTCTCATCCCGGCAAAGAGAGCTATAAGCTGTAAGATGCACCGTGTATGCATTGGTAAACCTGAGGCGAACACGCAAGCCACAAGCCTTCAGACCCTTTTGGTCAAAGGTAGATGTATTCAATCTGCCTACCTCCCAGCATGTTGCCACTGCATGGCTTGACGGATCTAGAACTACTCTTTAGTTAGAGACCTACAAACATGTCTTAGAAATGATGCAGTGGAGTCAATAGAAACTATTACTTGATATGTTCACCCAAGTAATGTCCAATTTATTAAAAGATGCAGAAGTGCATTATCCATCAAAACAGAGCAGAGTATGCCCTTTTTAACACGTAAACTAGTAAGTAGCAGAAGGTACCTAAGACTCATTTTGAGGGATCTGGTCGTGCTGGAGACTTCATTTGATCAGTTAGAAATGTTGCAGGAAATGCCAACTAAGGACTTGAAAATGTCAGTGGGAAGTATAACAGGTGGGTTCCACCGCGTTTTCCCGCTGTGCCCAGTATATCTTTTGATGCAGCCCAAACCATGCAGTGCTACATCAAAGCTGCACTAAATCGGAGTTAAGAATTGTGATTTTGTACCTCAAATAGCACGAACTCTTGTAAATTCTTCTCGCCTACGTAATGCAGACTTGACGGGCGGTGACGGTCAACAACTTGATGTAGCTGTGTTTTAACATTTGATTGATCAGTTAGCCGTGTGTCTACAAGTCGCCTGCTTCTATTTGTTGATTCAGGGACCAGTCAGAGTACCAACCAGAATTCTGTTCTGACTGTTTGTGACTAGCCTTTGTATAAAGTGTAGAAGGGGGAAGTGAATGGAAGTGTTTGACTGTCAGTGATTGTTGCAACTAAACAGAGGTTTAACTTGAGATACGACCACGAAAATAGATTGAGATCCATCTATGGAGAAGCACTGTATTATTCCTGTTAAATCATTTTTTAAATCACCCCATCATACCTGTTGTAAACTTGTAACCTTACCAGAGAAGGTCCCTTGTGAAAAAAAAAATCACGTGTGATTTCTTGCAGGTCAAAGACATTCTTAATGGAACGCTGAAATTTGCCCAAGGGATGGAGGAACAGGAAGACCTGATTATGAACGACGACTACTATGGCAAAGAGGAGCTCACCCCTTCCCCACCTGTCAGCAAAATGGACTTGTCGCCGGAGTCGGAGCCGGACAGCAACGGGAGCCAGCCTAAGGTGATGGAACTGGAGGAGCTGTCGCCTGACGTCGGCAGCAGCAGCAGCAGTGCCGATTCGGACCCTCGGCCAGAGACAACCCCGGCTGTCAGCCTGAACACCAGCGAGTGCAATAACAACCTGGGCGTGCCTGCCACCAGCGAGACTGACAACCCGAGGCCTAGGGCAGGGAAAGATCAGGCTCTGGCTGTGGTGGGCCATTAACTTCAGTGGAGAACACCACAATCCATCCACGACTCATTGGTCTTAAAAAGGAACTTGAAAGACTACAACATATTTTGTGACCAGCACATTATATTTTTTGTAAGTATCCCGTCTGTGAATTGTGAAGGTATGATTTGACACCTTTTTTTTCTAAATTATATATTCTGAAGCTTGACGGCACCTTTGCAGCAATGTCACCGCAGGCAGTCACCGAGTAGTTTGTAGATTTTCTGTACAGATTATGAACTAGGCAATCAGTGTACTTTTAAGTTAATAGCAGTCTGTATGTACATTTTGCTTGGTGTCTGGTTGCTGGATAATGAATGAACAAGGGCACATTTATATTTGACTTTGACCCAAAACACAACCAACCTGGTAACTGGTTATACTCTGAAATAGCTCTGTCACTGAAACTTTGGCCTCAGGTGACATCACGTTTGTGCTCATGAACGTGGAAATTCAAATTACAACTCAAGGACTGGACACACCCTTTGAAAGGATCCAGAGTTATAACACAAGTTCAGCTTGGCGTGATGATTTAAATTTGGAATCACCAACCAAGAGCTGCCAACTAGAACAGATTTTCAATATTTCATAAAAAAAGCAAAGAATATGAAAGTATGGATCCATCTTTAGAAAATACTGATTTTAGAAAATCCTATCAGAGCATATTATTATGCACAATATTGACAGGCTTGCTATGGCATGTGGACCAGTGGACACTATGTGCTTTGATCCCGACCGAAATTGATCGCACGTACAGTAAACATAAGAAGTCAGGATTTTTGAGTCAAATGCTCATAAGGCACCTATCATGGAGCTCGAGGATAGTCTAATACCCTGACGTCTACAGTTATCTGGCAATGTACTATGTGCTGCAGCCTAGTCTAATACGTATGAAGTACACCATATGATGCAAGATATGGGGCGGAGAGCGCCCCCCAACCTTTGTGTTGGTCATTGTTTGATTGGAATCTCAGGAATTCTTTACAGACATCTAAGGGGGATGTGTTAGGTAACAATAGTCTAGAGTGTGTATAGGGATTGGACATGTGGGGGGGTACCCATCGGCCCCATATCGTGCACAGTATCAAGTACACGGCGAGCGCAGTTAATTCACTAGCGCCGTGTGGTTTGTACTGGTGTGCCATGCATATGGTCCCGTGGCGGTTAGATTCTGTTACTCAACGTAAACGCCTGATTGTAAACGTAGCTTCAACATTGTCGTCTTCAAAGAGTTCCAGAAAACAGCCTTTTAAAAACTAGTTGGGAGTACAACAGCACATTCTGACAGCATTGCTCACTAAAACACCGATTTCTTTACTGATTTGGGGGCTTCAACATACTGAAAGGATGAGTTAAAGGTTGGCAGCTCTGCCAGCCTGCTGCATTCAAATGCATTTCACAGGAATGCCCCCGGAAATTACTGAAGGGGGGAAAGTGGGGTTGTAACCCCATGACTCCATCCCAGATACACAACAGGTTCACTTACAACTCCAACACCTGTGAACCTTGGAAGATTTCCAATCAGTGACTTAAAAGAAAACCATGCCAGCATTTCAGTAATAAACACCCCCTCCTTGTGGCTTTCCTAATTTTGAATTTGTAGTTTTCTTTCTTTTCTTCAATCCTCAAAATAGCACCAAAGGGGATCACGTCTGCTGACGAGCACTCATAGACAGTAGGCTATTTTAAAGCATAGCTTCTTCAAGTAGATCGTCATTACAGTTATGACAGAAGAGGTCTGATGTGTTTATTAAACAAAGTGCTCAGTCATGTTTTCTGAACCATTGGTCCAGATTTTGTGAACTGTTTTTTTTTAATGCTTGGTCCTTTTTTAGGGGGACCATGGTCTGTTTGTAACACCTCACCCACAGATTCTGTGTTTTGATTGGCCGAGGGCTAGTCGCACGGCATTTGCTACTTTTGCTCTCTCGTCGTGTGTCCCAAATTGCTATAACCATAGCAATCACAATACTATGGCCATAGCAGCAAGCTGTGCTGTGAGCAGATGCATGTGATGTGCGCGTTGCAGTTATTTTCAAGTGCCAGCTGGGTCCAAAGATCTTGAAAAGTGGCAGTCTAGAAAAGCAGTTGTGTATTTTCAACCAATGCCATGTTTAAAATAAAAGTACATTCCAGGTTTAGTAATCAGTCATCACTTTAAATCAAGCAGAATCTGTGGAAAGTTTTATAAAACAAATACGAAGGCGAAGGTGATCCATGGAGTATTCTGTTTTGCCAAGGCAAAGTCGAGGGAAAATGGTATACTATCTTAGATCACCTCAAGAGGCTAGTTTTACTTCATCTCTCAGAGCAGTCAATCTTTGAACACTATTTTGAAGAGTTCATATAACAAGTTACCTGTCAGGTTTTTTAGGTCCATGCTCTGCATTTAACTGCTAACAACAGTGAGCGGGAATTTTAAGAATTTAGCCAAAAAAGTTAAAGCAGCCAGCCTATGTTTCATTGCAAGCACTGTCTTGTTAGTGCCTGTTTGTGTTTAGAGATGATGGCATCATTCCTGTATTAAACCTGATCTTTTGCCAGGTTAAGATGCTCTTTTCGTGCTGACTGTACGCACTGTCAGTGAAATGAACAATGGTTCCGTTCACTGGAAAATTGTATGTACCTCTGGGGTGAGAATAATTGGGCTGACATTATTAGTCTAAATGTGCAATGAACAAAGCATAAATAGGCATAACTATTAAGTTGTAAAATCATTCCTAGCTTTCTTAAGCACTGTCATGTCTAAATGTAAGAAACAGTCAAGTCGCAAGTAAAATGAAGTATTTTGTCAGTTCTTAAAGGTAGTGGACACGATTGGTTTTGTGTCATAATTTCACAAGATTGGCAGATTACGGTGTATAATATTCACTGCAACTTACATTGCACTGACATATTTTGTGCTTGATCCGACTGCTTTGTGAAAAATCAAGAAAAGCAGTGTGACATTTTCAACGCTTAAATCAAAGATCTTGTAATTTAAGTTGCATAAAATCTGTGGATTACAGAGCGTTTGTATTAAGTGAACAGCATCTGCGTAGTTAGGGTGGGAAATGGGTGTAACAGGCAAACAATACACACAAGAAAATTGGCACCTGTAATGTGATGTGCGAAGTGAAATGAACTCTTATACGATGGTCGGCTGACCATCACAAAAAAAGAGAACAAAATTTCTGTTGTCTCAAAAACTACAGCATTCTGGGTGGAAATATTTGACAGACTGATTTAAGCTGTTGTGGACTTTCTTTCAAGAAAGGTATCTCAGGGTTATACGGTAGTCAGATTCGGGGGATTTTACCAGTGGTGTACACTACCTTTAAAACATTATCAATTTTAGCAGCCGGCTGCAAGTACATGGGATTTCTATGTTCGCAGCCGACTGCAAGTACATAGGAAATCTTTTCCAGTGTGTTTTTGCATTCCTCCACAATTTTGTTGAAGGACGACATAAGACAAGGTCCTTGCTTCAGACGAAGGGATTGACATATACAATTGTTGTACATATTAGTCTAAATTCTTTGTCCAAAAACCAAGGTCCTTGCTTCAGACGAAGGGATTGACATATACAATTGTTGTACATATTAGTCTAAATTCTTTGTCCAAAAACCATGTCAGTAATGGCAACCATATTGCAATTTTTGTATTTGTTGGTATTCAACCTGAATTGAACCTCGTTTTCTTTTTGCATTTTGTTTTCCTTTTTTGGGGTGGGGGGTTGTATTTCCAAGCTGTAATTTCATTCACTTAATTTGAGAGAGCTTTTGTCTCTTTGGCCTTTGAATGCAAAATAAAAATTTGAATATCTACAGTATTTTGTGTTTATATATATCCTCGCGGCACAGCAGGCGGAGGTGGTACTGTGTGACAGTTAACCTCTTGGAGGTTTTTGTGGTTTTGAAGAGCAACCTCTTACATGACACATATATATGAGTTTTGCACTGGCACGTTTCAGAATTGTTCAAACTTGCAAAGGAGAGATACCTTTATTTTTGCTCAGCACCAGTGGAAGAAAGAACATAGCAGTGTGGAATTTTATTTCTGATAAACATATCCCCATCTTGAAAATGCTGCTCGGAAGTATTTGCATTATGTTCAGTACTCACAAAAATTGAGTTCAAGCGGCCTTCTAGTTGACATTCGGTTTACATTGACTGGCATTAGCACAGCAAAAGATATAAAATTACAGACTCAAAAAAATTAAAGGAAGCAGCATCAAATTGGTTGAGTTTTATAGTGTAACCTGAACAGCAAGCATTATTAATTTCTGTTTTATTTTAATTTTTTTGGGGGGGGGGAATCTTTGTGTTTCTCTCTGTTCTATTTTGTCTTCCTAGATTTTAGGTTACAGATGCTGTAAGAAATTTTCTAAAAGTGTTGGCCTTTAGTGGAAAAAAAGCTTGTTATGTCAACCAATGCAGAAAAAAAAGTTGACCACTGTGTTTGAAACTATGGATGTCACAAACAGTGAGCATTTAGTCATGGAAGAAGCACCTAATGGTTTAGGGAAAAATAGTTGACAAAAAATTATGTGGCTTATGGATGTGTTTAAAATATCTAATGTATATGTAACACATGAGCACTTTGTAAATACGTGAACGGAAGTTTATTGCAGATTATATATGACAATGGTAGTTCAAAGAATGATTTTAAAGGAATTGGGTGAGAAGGAATCGGCAGTGAAGGATTAACAGAAAAATGAATATCTGAACGACATGTTGTTTGAGTTCTCTTGGTGTGCATTTTGTTGTGAATGTTTAACGTGCAGTACCCTGGTAGTATTAGATTCAAAAGTATAAAGTAAAATTAAAGGGCCACAGAACTTGAAATGCAAGTTCAAAAATCCTTTGTTGGCCGTATCATTTTGCGGCAAGGTCCAGTTATTTAATACCTCTTGGTTTTGAATTAATATGAGGGTCGGAAGGCAGTTCTGTGATGGGATGCTCAGAATTTGGGGAACAACTATTGCTGTTGCCCAGATTTTTTTTCAGGGCGGGGAAGGACCGCTTTTTAAATGGGGGGGGGGAATCTCCAATGGGGTAGAAACTAATAGTTATCTGTGGAAGCGGTCAATGTTCAAGGTATATTTTTAAAGCAAATTGGTAATTTTCATCACTTTTTTTTGCAATTCATCTGCATTTCCTCCTTTTTTTTGGGGGGGGGGGGAAGCAGCCCCGTGGTTCCCCCTTGTAATGCCCAGGGGAATAATGCTTCTGAAAAGGCATAGCTTGTGTCAGGGTGTTCGAGCACAAAAGTTGACGGAGATTGCGGACGTCATTGACTTAGCCCTGACTGGCAAAGAAACATCCATAAAACAATTACTGAATTGTGCAACCCACCTTGTGTGATATTTCTATAGGGGATTGTCCAAATCCTGGCTTCCTTTGTGACATGAAATCACTAGGGGATTCATCCTGTTCAAATCAAATTGATGTTCCTGGATTTGGTCGATTGCATAAAGTTTCATTCAGAATGGAGAGAGCACCTTGTGAAATGGACACCCCTCTTTATGGGGGGGGGGAGTTTTGGAGACACATTTTCCTTTTTACCTGTTTTTTCTCTTGCCCGTAACTTTGCATGTCTATAGATTATAAAGATGAACAAAGAAACTGACTGGGGCATTGGTGGTTCTTCCCAATTACTTAAACTACATGTAACTAAATGAATAAATCATTAATACATTAATTAATGAAATAAATTTAAAAATGGAAATCCTCGGTACAAATATCATGGCTCATATTTCGGATTCACAACAGTTTCTGGATAACGCCTTCCTTGGTATATTCCGGGCAGTGGCAACTCCGGGGACACACTATGTACTTTGCCACGGGAAAATCATTAGAATTTATTGCCAATTCTGAGACTGAGACTAGTCTTAAAGGCTGTGGAAGCATCGTTTTAAAATGTTGAACTTCTTGTGTAAAAAAATCGCTTCCAGGAACCCCCTCCGCATTTGGGGGGCACGTTGGAGGCACCGGTGAATTAAGCTTTTCAAGAGCAAAAGATTTCTGTTTCAGAATTTTTGCTTAGCTTAAAACCCAAAAGTTGGGGGGGGGATGCGTACAAGTTAAACCGCGTATGAAACAAGGTCGTGATTTGAAAAACTTCACAATTTTTTGTCCTTCAACAGCGCCCCCTCTAGACTTATTTAACATGATGTCATCACATGCGCTGAAAAAGATTGCATTTGGTTGTTGTGTATTTCGTTAAAGAAGGAAACTGTTCGATTGTAGCGACCAAACACGTCAAAAAAGTCTTCAACTGCGAGCTCAACATTGAGAATCTGCTGCAGATTCGTGGAAATGTTCTCTGTGAGTGGAGTGAGTGCGCAGGTAAATATCGAACGCCTTGTGAATCGCACAGCTTGGAATGGGGGATTCCCTTGCATAACGTTTGTGCAGTAGGCCTATATGCACACGGACATCACTTGACGACGGCTCTGTGCATAAACCTATTATTGGACTGGCCTGAGAAATGTGTTTTCTTAGTAGGATGCGTTAATTAATTTATCGCGGTATTTCTCACATTTCCCAATCGAATAGAGATTTCTCGCTCACCTTCCTGAATTGTCCTATCCTTTATGTCCTTGTTGTTGTGTAATTAGAAGATTTTGTTTATGGTTCAATTTGTTTTCTATGGCTCAGAAATTGTGTGTGCGCAGTGTATGCAGCGGAGGTCGAGTCTCTATAATTACGACATCGAGAAATGGTTTCTATGAAGGCCCATAAAGCACTTTGTTTATGAATAAATATAGATAGAAATGGTTATTGCTTAAAAAGGAAACAGATAGCCACACTGTATGATAAATGTTCTATTTTACTTACAGTTGACTCCGTTTGACAGGCTTCTGCTTAAAGATGCTATTCGCTTAGAGAATGAGATGGGAGTAACTGCTCTGCATCACTTCACATTAATCTGACATGGAATGGGCCCCTAACTTAAGAACACTTTTTACCTCAGTATCAAATGTAGTAGCAACTTTGAAATTCGTCTTATTACTTAAATTGGTGTTTGCAGCAGGAGTAATAAATGTGCAGGTATATTGCAAATTCCATCCTCTTGGTAGACCCATTCTTTTATCGATGTCTGAAACAATCCTTAAAAATGTCTGCTTTCTGAGTTCTAATTCCCCAAGAGTTATGATGATCTCCTTAGGCCTGAACTATTTCTTATTCATAATTAACGTTAGATATTCTAAATATCCCTTAAAAATTGCTAGCAGTCTTGGTCTTCGTGCTTTGTTTACAGCAACTCCTGGGGCCCTTGCCTCATCTGGCCGCTGTGCTGAACTCCGTCAAGGCCACATCCCGTGACCCTACCGCAGCAGCATGGGCTATCAAGCACAGCAGACAGAAGCATCGACAAGGCTCTGGCAGTCAGGTCAGAGCATCTGATGCAGACTTATTAGAGAGCCTACAAAATGTAAGTAGAAAGTTCATTTGGAAAATCATGCGGGAATTCTCTAGAGCCACACACAGTTTCACTTTATGCCATTTCATGTACCCCAGAAAATCCATGTTTTCCTACAAATTCTTGATCTGTTATGTTGTCTGGGTTGAATTGGCAGGCGTTGTCTTGCATTGACTCTAAGGAAATTGTTCAGTTGACCACTTTAGAGAATTGACTCCTGAGGAAAGAGAGGTCAAACTGCTGATTCCAAGTTTGAATTTGGTTCCATTCGATTCTGCTGTACAGTTTAGGGCTGTGCCTAGTTCCTCGATACCCACAGCCCGACCGCTGATTACGGATAACCGGCCCCATTTCATCAATCTTTATCATCCAAAGCTGCCCTTGTAAATTTCAGCACAACATTTCAGAAAGGGAAGCATCGTTTTCTTTTGTTTACTCGCTGATAAATTGTTGGAAAACATCGGAAGAATGTATGGTTTGAGTCCATTCACCAACAATTTCCTGATGTCTAGATCACAGATGAATCAACAAAAAGAACCGGTCAAGACATGCTGCTGGTGCAACTTTAATACCTTGAACCGGCTGGATTTGCTTGGTGGTGCACTTTGGTCTTTTCACTCCCATCACTTGTCTGCACACTGCATAAAACAAACCAACCCGTCACTGCAACCAAATCCTGCTTTTATGCGAGCCTGATTGCTACATTTGACCAAATTGTGTATGCCTTGCATGACTCCATGACCAGGGACCTTTCTTTAGCTTAAAATTTGGATTTGTAACTCGATTTTTAGCCGTTCCCCCGNCGATCCGTGTTGCCAAGATTTTTATTTCACACTTGGAAACCTAGAAATAAAAGGTGTCGTTACAATGTAGTCCTGTGCATTATTAGTGCCGAAACACACCCCAATGAGAGAGTACCAGCGCAGCACTCAATTCAACAGCTTGGCAAAAGAGTGGGTTAGGAATGCACGCGGTGAAAAACACTTGATTAACCACTGGCTGCCGGGTGGTTTGAAAAATGCAGTGCACATAATCAGGACTTTAACAAAATTTTCAGTTTTCCAAATTCTTCAAAAATTCATCATTTCAATTAATGGACGTTCACACCCAGATGAATTACTGTCTGATCTCCCCTCCATTCTGACAGACAAAATCTATTGACGCCCGAGTATTTCAGCGAGGCCTGCAGCCTTGTAAAAAGAGCCCAGATAATAATAATAAATAAACATTTATAAAGCGCCATCTATCTAGAAAACTAATCCGAGGCACTAGAAGAGACAGTAAAATCAGGTTGATGACACTTATGAAGTGCCAATAAAAGAACGCTTGAGCAGAAAAGTTTTCAAGTTTGACTTTAATGCTTAAATTCAGTCCAGTGTTCTGAAATCATTTGGGAGGTTGTTCAACAGCACTGGTGCGGCCGATGGAAAGGCTCGACTTCCATAGGCAATCCGTGTTCTTGGAATCGCAAGCAGATTCTTGTGTGATGAGCGCAGGTTACGTTGTGGTATATGTACATGGGGTGTGTTGGGGTCACATAAATAACCTGGTGCCAATCCATGTACTACGATTTTCCACATGAACAGAAGAATGTTGAACTCAATTTGCTCGCAAACAGGCAACCAATGGAGATGTTGCAGCACTGGCAAGATGTGGTCAAATTTGTTAGATCTGGATAAGACTCGGGCAGCTGCATTTAGAGCATGGTGGAATTTGTCTAACTGGTACGATTTAATGTTGGTCAGTTGAGAGTTACAATTATCCAGCCGAGAAAGAACAAAGGCATGAATGAGTTTGGATGCAGATGTGTCATCAAGTACTTTCCCTATGCTGTTAACGTTGCGAATGTTACAATAAACAGACTCGCAAATCTTCTGAACGTGAGTATCCATGGAGAAATTTTCATCAAAGACAACTCCTAGGTTTCAAACAGTGGATGAGGCAGTGATGCATTCTGAACCAATGGTAACAGTTCGGTCCTGGATCAGAGCTTGCTGGGATTTAGATGCAATTATAACGAGATCAGATTTGCTGTGATTCAGCTTCAACTTATTGGTAAGCATCTGTGCACTTATATCTAGGATGCATGCCTCTAACTGATGCTTAGCAGAGAGCTTACTATCAGGAGATGATGGATCAAATGGAATGTAATGTACAACTATGTACCATCTGCATAGAGGTGAATTTGAAGACCATGTTGATAGGCAATGTTGGATACCGGGCTAAAATACATGCTGAACAAAGTGGGCCAAGCACTGATCCTTGGGGCACACCAAATTGCCAAGCTGCAGGAGATGATGATGATTCACCAATCTTCACNGAGTGAAAAATGCCGGTAATGCCCATCAGCCTGGTCTTTTGTTCGGAGTACGGTCTTTTGTTACAGGGCCCTGTTTCCTTTGTCCGAGTTCGGAGACCCCGGCCACGCATATAAACCATACGTCTCCGATCCCAGAGTCCCCAGCAGGAAGTTTAACAGAAGAATTCTGAACTCAATCTGCTCCCAAACAGGCAACCAATGGAGATGTTGCAGCACTGGAAAGATGTGGTCAAATTTGTTAGATCTGGATAAGACTCGGGCAGCTGTATTTAGCGCATGGTGGAGTTTGTCTAACTGGTATGATTTAATGTTGATCAGTTGAGAGTTACAAATATCCAGCCAAGAAAGAACAAAGGCATGAATGAGTTTGGATGCAGATGTGTCATCAAGTACTTTCCCTATGCTGTTAACGTTGCGAATGTTACAATAAACAGACTCGCAAATCTTCCGAACGTGAGTATCCATGGAGAAATTTTCATCAAAGACAACTCCTAGGTTTCGAACGGTGGATGAGGCAGTGATGCACTCTGAACCAATGGTAACAGTCCGGTCCTGGATCAGAGCGTGCTGGGATTTAGATTCAGTTAGAAGAAGCTCTGATTTGCTGTGATTCAGCTTCAACTTACTGGTAAGCATCCATGCACTTATATCTAGGATGCATGCCTCTAACTGATGCTTAGCAGAGAGCTTGCCACAACGCACCCTCCGTTCTAGTTCAACATTGCTGCTCAGTACACCTGTCACTCGCACTAAGACTTATGGATATCGTTCATTCAAGTATGCATCACCATCGCTGTGGAACTCTCTCCCACACCATATCAGAAATGTCAAAAATGAAAATGAATTTAAGTCACTACTTAAAACTCACCTGTTTCATTAATTGCTTTATTTCATAATATTACTGTGAAGGGCATCGAGATGTGCTATGTGATGCGCTATACATGTATAAGAAATGTGTTATTATATTATTATTGTTACTATCAGGAGATAATGGATCAAATGGAATGTAATGTACAACTATGTGCCATCTGCATAGAGGTGAATTTGAAGACCATGTTGATAGGCAATGTTGGCTACCGGGCTAAAATACATGCTGAACAAAAGTGGGCCAAGCACTGATGCTTGGGGCACACCAAATTGCCAAGCTGCAGGAGATGATGATGATTCACCAATCTTCATAGACTGAGACCTGTCCGATAAGTACGACGAAAACCACTCTATAGGTATTCCTTTAACACCACACGACTCAAGACGTTTAATTAATAGTAAGTGATCCACAGTGTCAAATGCAGAAGACAAGTCCAGAAGTACAAGAAAAACTGCCTGTTTACTGTCGACTGCCCGGAGAATGTCCTTGGAGACACGGATGAGAGCTGTTTCAGTACTGAACCATCTCCTGTATGCAGACTGAAATGACTCAAATAAATTATTGTCAGAAAGGTGATCACATACATGTAGCTGTATGGCAACCTACTTTCTCAAGCACTTTAGAAATGAACTTGAGATTAGACACCGGTCGATAGTTTTTAAGTTCCTCAGAGTTCAGTGATGATTTCTTTAAAATCGGTGAGACAACAGCCTGCTTAAATGCTTTGGGAAATTTGCCTGTTTTGTAAGAGAGATGCTCAGAATGAAGTTGATGTCGGGTAGTAACAGACACATGTGATGTTTCAATATTAAACCAGGTTGGGATAGAGTCAAGAGAACACGATTTGGATGGCAATGCAGAAATGATGTGTGCCAGCTCCTCCTTGTTAACTGGCTCGTTAACTGGCTCAAACATATTTGGTAACCGTAATTGGTGTTTCATTGCACAGAGACTGGACCTTTGTGCTGGGCAGGGGATGAGACGACTCCATTTTGTCATAAATTAAGCAAATCTTGGAAACAAAGAAATTGCTGAACCTTTCTGCAAGCTGCTGAGTGTCCGTGTGACTGGGGAATTTGGGGTTGCTAGAGAGATGAAAAGTTTGATCAATGATCCTGTAAAACTGTCTGTGACCACTATCGTCGACAATTTACTTGCTGATATATGCAGCCTTAGCAGTGTTATGTAACTTTCTTTTGCTCACGAACCTGGCACAGTGCACTGCTGACCTCTTGTCAATAGGGGCCAGATTAGCTTGCAGCGGTTCTGTGTGGCTCATCGCTGCGGTGGCGGAGCGCTTTTGTCCCCGGTGGTAATCCGCTCGCACTAAATGCCCCAAACTGTGGTATACTGTTTCATAACAAGGCTGGATTTTCTCCACTATTGAGAGTGAAAAAATGTCTGTAATGCCCAGCAGCCTGGTCTTTTGTTCCGAGAACGGTCTTTTATTACAAGGCCCAGTTCCCTTTGTCCGTTTTTGGAGACCCCGGCCACGCGTATAAACACACGGTGCCCGAAACCGGGCTCCCCGGCAGGAAGTGGTTACTTTTTTTTTTGTTATTTCAGTGATAATTATGGGTACAGCCCGTTAAGGGGATCGGTTACCGGGTTCTCACACTACCCGTAAAAGCTCATCACTCAGAGAGTTGCAGAGAGTACATGAACTGTAGTTCATTAGCTGAGTAAAAAAAACAAACAAAAGCATGCAAGCAAACAAACAAACTTTGTAATCTTCGCCAGGCCCATTTTGGTGTATGTTCTCTGTTAATAATTTCCAATATTTTGACTTTTTATTTGTAGAGCTGCAAGTTTAAAACCTGTTCAGGGTATGACTCCTGTAGACACAAACTGATCAGCAAAGGGTTCACATAAGTCTCTCACCGTCCTGAGAAAATCCACCTTCTGCAAGTGTTAAACACTTCCTTCCCAGCAAAACAACAGGACTTTAGAACTAGTTTCTGGTTTTGTTTGGCCTAAATAAGTCCTACTGTCAATTCTTCTCTATGTGTCTGACAAGGTTGCACTCAATATTGAAGAAGTTGGGGCAGCTCATCTACCAGAAGGTTGGGCAGACAGCCTTCTGGCTAAGATCCCACTCAGACAGAATGGTGACGGCACCTGGAAAGAATCCCACATATCGGCACAGTCTTTCTTTGAGAACAAAAACGGTGAGGCGAATACCAACTTTAAAGCTCCGGCTTTAGGTTCTGCGTGATAAGTTCACTTTGTTCCAGTTTTAATGAGTTTTGCTGGTGAAGAGCGTACCCCGCTTTTACCTTCATAGATTATTCTCACACCCAGGCTATGAACCCAAAATTTGTCCCCAGACTTGAGGAAACAAAAGATAATCTTCAGATCTCACTCCCAATATTTTCATGCAAGGAATTCAGAATCTAAGCACTATTGTGCGGATACAGAATTCTACATGATTTGAAGTATCTTGTAATGTATAAACTGTAATAAAGAGGTAAACTGCAGCCAGTCAACTTAAATATACCAAACAGTATAATGTTGCATTCCTGTTTTCAAGATGGTTCATATTATCAACATTTTCAACACCAAAGTGAGAGAGATTTTCAGTTCAGGATCATCTCTCAATCCCCCCCCCCCCCGAGTTAATATTCCAGAACCACCCCCGAAAAAACTTGTCATGTTGGGTGGAGGTATGCCTTTACATTTGCAATGTGTACTAATTTTTTTCTCAATTTTTCTCTCCATGTCAGGTTTTCCAGAGCGCCTGCTACGTTTACGTCCCTCCTCGGCCTCCTTCAAGGACAGACATCCCCTGCTCGTCGATTACAGACTAGGCACAAATGGCACTTTACAAGGTGAGCGGTTCTCATTCAGACTTGATCAGAAAGGTTTGTCTCTGTACATCCCAGGTGGGAGTGCCACTTTGAATGCCAGCACTGCCAGCCACAGACAAACCTGCCACTTTTCCTTCGATCAGCCAATCGCCGCAGTCATTTCTCTCTGTGTACGCCAACCCATGACACTGTCGCAAGACTTTCTACGTAGATGTAGACAAAGAACGAAAGGGCATTCCAATAGCTTTTCCCCAATAGCTTTTCTTTATTAATTCCATGGCCAGTTCTTGCTCTCGGCCATCTTACAATCATTGCTGTTTGAAGAAGAATATCAATATGTACGTGTATTGCACCTGCCTTCAGTTTTCCTGAGTAGTTACAATGTACATGTATGCATTGGTTATACTTTCTTTTGTAGCCCTATACCTTAAATGGCTTTTTAACCTTGTTCAGAGCAAATTTGCATGCAGCATATTCAAATCAACGATGTTGTACAAAGTCTTCTGTTGTGTGGAATTTCCTTTTTATTTCCGGCTTCATAGCCATGCCCGAATAGATGGAAACCCAACTTTGACTCTCTGTACATTTTTAAGTGTCTGTTTTACTTAACTATCCATTTCGAAAAAAAAAAAGAGGTGAATTCCCAGAAAACTGGAGGTAACAGTGCCCTTGACTTAATTGGGATTGTTTAAAATTGGAGGCAAACAGTTCTGACTAGATAATTTGTTGCATTTGTGACAGGTTTTTATCAGAGCAGAGGGTTTAAGACAAAGAGGGCAGGGACCGCGAAGAAGCTGCGATCATCCAGCGTGGAAGAGGAACCACCCAAAGGAATGCTGTCCAGTGCCTTTCAGGTACGCATCAATCAACCTGTACTTACATTGCAAAATGGGTCCAAGCACTCTCACAGACAACAGACACATTTGATGGGGAGCAAGTGTACTGTAATTTTCAGTTTGTTGTAAGTCTCACCGGAATTTGTATTTGGAAGTTTGGGTCGGGGAATTCACAAAGGCAGTTAGGCATAGATATGGGTGGAGTTTCTGGCTCCATGTATAATGTGTAAGAGTGTCAATTGTAACTCAGAATTGTTGCTTTGCAATTAATTTCTGCCATAGAAACTTTAGAATAAGAAACTGTGGTAATTTGGGTTGTTGGGTGAATTGTGGAGAATTCCAAAAATTTCTAGACCCCCAGAAAAGTGAAAGCGTAGGCAACAAAAAAATGTTGGAATGACCTGAATAGTCAGTGTCTAAGAAGTAACATTCATCACCTAGTCAGGAAATCTACTACTGGTTGTATACGTTGTGAACCGATTAAGCCCTAGCCTCTTAGAGTGTACCAAAAGGTAAGCCATGTCGGAATTACTTCTCTACAGCTTCAAATAACACATGCGTCTGTGGAAGCCATAAGCCAGCAGCTTCGTACATTTTCTATAAATCACACACGGCATGGTATTACTTATGGAGAATTGGAGATTGTCATTGTAAACAATGTGAGGTTTCTGGTTTCTACCAGAGAGTCACAACGCGTGAACCAACCAAGCTAAGCGACAAGTTGGAGTCAGCCCTGGCCGCCAACGAGTCCCGCATCAGCGATGGGGACTCCTTCAAGATTGGCTATGTGGAGGGATTCCTCAAGGGCAAGGAGGAGCCCAAGAGGTCAGACCGCCTCAAGACCTGGACCACCATCCTGGTCATTGGTGTGCTGATCTACCTGTACTTCAAGATGGTGTCTGTGTTCGGTGAGTCGAGCACTCCCTACTAAAGTGCCTTAAGACCCTTAGTAGTGACAAGCACAGTTTGATGAGTCTAAACTGCCCAGGCTGATGACTTTTGTTATGATGCTGCCATGTTTGTTTTGGTCCCTGTAGACCCATTGGCAATAGTAATACAACTTCACATGTTGAAAATAGGGAACAGTCTATATTTCCTTCCAGCCTCAGTTTGGTTACATTGCTGGGAATGGTGGAAAAGCAAGATGGCTGCCCCATAATGGGGATCTATGCACAGTTGTGCACATTGTGGCATTGGGAAATTGCTTCAGGCAGAGTTTTTGGGAAGCCAGTCACAAATCCTTTTGCAAGACCAGTCACAAGTAACAGGCTGAATAGTGTTGAAGAGATGGTTTTTGTCACAGGTCCTTTGAACCTCCAGTGGCTCGACTTCGGACTGGATGACTTGTTTGGGCTTACAATGGACTTGACCAGCTTATTACAGCTGGACAAAATAATGTGCAACTTGACTTGTACTTGGACAGCGAGACTTGTGACTTGACTTGTGTTAGACCAAATGACTTGTGACTTGACTTGGACTTGCATATAATGACTTGTGAGTTGACTTGTGTTTAGATGAAATGACTTGTGACTTGACTTGCCCTGTGACCAAATGACTTGTGACCGGACCTAATGACTTGTGACTTGACTTGGGCTTGCATATAATGACTTGTGACTTGACTTGGACTTGCAAAATATGACTGGCTGCCACCTTTGGACTGTACTTACCACACACACATCGCACACAGGTTTGGAGGGTGTGCACATGGGTGCACTGACATATGCAACAAATGGAGTTGGCAACGACTTGCAAAATTTGGGACCGAGACAAGTCCCCCATTAGTCATCCAGATGGAAATTCAAGTCATGAGCTAATCAGTTGAACCGTCAAAAAGGGCTGTCGTTCCTGCAAACTGAAGAGCAGATATAAACGGGTGTTGTTTCATGGACACTTTGCAAGAGGAGCCGTTGTAGAACAGCGATGTGAAGCCATTTTCAGATGATTTTTTTTTTTCAATGAGTGCCTTTTTGACTTGATATTGATCTCATTCTTGAGCATAGTTTGCATTTCTTTGCAAATGCTGGAAAAATTTGCTGTATTCTCTGCATTGTCCCAACAGCGCGAGTGTCCATCATGGGACCATCAAATGTTGACAGCATGAACGTCAAGGATGTCAGCTTTGATGACGTTAGAGGGGTAAGACTGAAAGGCTTATTGATTGTTGGGCTGTTGGACCCAAGATGTAAAACTGAGAGTCCTGTGCACCTGAAACAAGATATAAGGTGCTTTGGGTTTAACTGTCGGAGTATTTGTTCTTTTAACCCTCCTATGCTGAAGTCACTCTTTGGGTCATTTGGTGAACACCTCAAAGAAGCACAGCTGTGTTGTGTTATGCACTGCACCAACTGTCCCTCACAGGAATATTAGATTGCACTTTTGTGCTGCCCAACAACTGTGCTTCACTGTTTCATGTGCATCATTGTGCAGTAAACCAAATGCAGTTAAGAGGACTGCACAAAAGACCCTGGGCCATTTTGTGCTGGCAGTCTACTGTGTACACACTGAACCTGTGCACGTTTGAGTTCCATATAGACAATACATGCTCACCAGTGACTGGGGGCATTTGTGCACATTTGTGCTGTAAAACCAAAGGAGGGTTAAGGCCATGTTCAGACCATGTTCTCAGGTACCTGTAGTGATTTCTCTCTACATTTAAATGCCTAGGTTACTGAATGACTTGTTAAAGCATGATGAAAATGTCACTGTATAAAAGTCTCTTGTGAGCCTTAATGTTAAATCTTGTTCACATCTTGTAGATTGACGAGGCTAAGAATGAGCTTCAGGACATCGTCAGCTACCTGATGGACCCTGAGAAGTACACCAAGCTGGGCGGTAGGCTGCCAAAAGGTAAACAGATTCTATCAAGGAGTTGTAGGCCAGTGTCCGAGTCTTGTGTGTGGGGCTGGGTTCAGGACTTAGCTGGTGACATGCAAATACACGGGCACATGCTGGCAGCCAGACATGGCCCTAGCCCATTTCAGACACGGCTTACTTTCAAAGTCTCTCAGCTTGCCCTGTTGTTGATCCGCCGATGCACATTTCTGGCAAGCACATAAAAAAATCTGCTCAGCCGAAATGTGTCTCAGTCAGTGTTACATAATGTTTATTGCTGTTGATCGTTGCATTGCTGGCTTTGCTTGGCACATAAATTTGCTTCTGTAGAGGTCGTGCACGGCAGCCATGCTTCCAGTAAGAGCTTTTATTCCACGCTGATGCACGAGTAGACCTTTTGTGCTATCCCTCCGTAACAAAAGCAGTTACTGGAAAGATGGCTGCCATGCACAAACTCTATAGCAATATTTACCGCTTGGCAGCTCCTTGAGACTGAAGCATTCGCGTAAAGTTTCTGGCAGTGATACTATCATAATTAGTGTGGGGGGGTGGGAGAAGGTAGGGTGGATTGCATGTTTTTGTTGATGTGTGCATTTGTCTTAGTGTTGCCTGAATAAGACAGTTGGGCTGCAAATTGTTAGTTCACGTGATACAACACTGTTCATTTATCATGGGAATTGTGGATTCAAATCCTGCTTCAAAAAAGCTTTATTTGGTAGGGACAACATTGTCGACAATATTTTGACATGAGATTACGATGCTCCTGGTGAACTGCTGTTAACAAATTGATACATGTTGTTGACCTGGCCATCTTTCATCTTCCGTGCTGCCATCATCTCTGTAGGAGTGATGCTGGTGGGTTCCCCGGGGACAGGCAAGACCCTGCTGGCCCGGGCTGTAGCCGGCGAGGCCAACGTCCCCTTCTTCTACGCCTCGGGCTCGGACTTTGACAACATGTTTGTGGGGTCGGGAGCCAAGAGAGTCAGAGACGTGTTTGGTAAGTGGTTTACTGGAAGGGAAACAAAAGATGTAAGATCAGAGCGGTTGTGGTAAACGGCGGTAAACGGTTGTAGTGTGGTTGATGATGAGCCAAAGCAACCCGTCCTATTCTCTGACATATTCCAAACTGCCATCCACCAGGTTTGGAGAATTTGTTACTGCTGCTAGCGTTGTGACGTGGGTAACTGTCCTGGCCACTAGCTTCTATCCCGAATGAAATGTATGGAAAATTCAACAAGCACCAACTTAAGGCCACTGTAGTATAGTTGCGCTAAGGTGGGCATGGTATGTCTGGTGTTTCTGGATTCAAATTACACCAGTTTTCTTTTCTGAATTGGGTATTGATTTGAAAGTTTAAGCTCCACATTGTGGAGCTGGATCAGCTTATGAATCCTGGGATGCGTTCAAGTTTAGAGTGCCCCGTCATTTAAGAGAAATGAACGATTGAATTGACAGTACAAGAGGTGAGAATTTAGTTTTTCGGCAAAGAATTTTTCTTGTCTGTTGAACCCTCCAGGTGAGGCCAAGGCTAATGCCCCTTGCGTGGTCTTCATTGACGAGCTGGACTCAGTGGGCGGCAAGCGCGTGGACTCCCCTCTCCACCCCTACGCCCGTCAGACCATCAACCAGCTACTGGCCGAGATGGACGGCTTCAAACAGAACGAGGGCATCGTGGTCCTGGCGGCCACCAACTTCCCGGAATCGCTGGATCCGTGAGTTTATAGTTTTTCAAAAGACGCAGCGTTGCTACCAGTCTGCACAGCCTACATGTAAAGCCTGATTCTTACCACATAACGACCACATAACCCTACAGATCAATAGGAACAATGCATTTATGAAGCAATTCGACACTTCCGCTTTTTAGTTGACCATACCTTCTTTACGGTTTTCGGATTAGCATTTAGTTACATTGTTTTGTTTTGTGTTCACTGACCTGTTATTTTCTCACGTAGGTGAAACAATCTTGTTTTTTTGTCACCTACAAAACTGTCCCGTTAAATTTGCTTTCGCTCGTTTGATACCTCTTATGTTTGGCTGTGATTTGTTCATTTCACTTCTCCCATTATCTGCTTTGTGGCTTAGTGGCAGGGCCAGAGATACCTCCGTGCAGTTTGTCTCTCAGAATTGGGGACAGTTTGTTTTTTGGAGACACCTTGGCAAGCATTGTCTTTCAAGCATAGACTTTGGGTTTGTGTTGGACAGGGCTCTGACAAGACCGGGTCGGTTCGACATGAAGGTGATGGTCCCCAAGCCCGATGTCAAAGGTCGTACGGACATCCTGATGCTGTACTTGTCAAAAGTCACAATGAGCAATGGTGAGTAGGCATAGGTTTAGATATTGTATTCACAAGATGACGTCGGTGTTATGATGGAGATGACGGTCCAAGTGGCTGTGATTTTGCCTAATTTGTAGCTGGAAATTGTGACCCACCATTCCAATCGATGCAGAAGCACGTGATTTTGAATGTTGGACAATTCCTCTTCTTCACTGTTAATTTTCAAACTTCAAAGTGACCCATAGTGCAGATTTTGTCTGCTGAAGGTGTTGATAGTTATGAGCAGTGAAAGCTGTAGAGTGTACATCGTTCATTTGTGTATTGGTATCGTTCAGGTAAGGGCTTACAAGCCTTCGGCATGGTTTTCTTAATTCGGTCAAAATTTTTAGTTTAGTTCAGTTTTTCAAATGTATTTCAGCAATAAAGCTTTGAGACTTTGAAATTTGGATAAACCACCAATAGCAGCAGTGATATTAATCCCTAGCACGTCAAAGCCCTGAAAGATGGTATAAAAGAGTCGTTGAACACTTTGCATGATACCTTTCCTTTACAGAGGTGGATCTGGATGTGCTTGCGCGGGGAACTGTTGGCTTCACAGGTAATGTATTCACCATCAATGCCATGTCTCTCTGTAGTGTATAAAGACATTAGCGCATCATCTTATGGATTGCAGTGCCAAACCGCACTTCCCGACAAGTACTTGTAGCGTAAACAATATCTGTTGTAGTTTACGGTCACTGCACACGGCAAACACCCTGTTTCTGCACAAAACTGAGCATGAGTGTACGGCCATGTGGCAAATTCAGTCCATCACAAGTGCAGGCACAAGTCCCATCACAAGTGCAGTCACAAGTCCCATCACAAGTGCAGTCACAAGTCCCATCACAAGTGCAATCTCAAGTCCCATCTGAACAATGACATAGGTGAATAATGACAAAGGGTTGCTCCAGTCACAGTTCACTTTGAGTAGCATGTGACTTGGCTTCAGACTGGATGACTCTTGTGTTGGATTTACTTGGACTTCTCGGGACTCATGAAGGACATGAATACAACACGAGAGTTTAGCACTCAAGGGTCCTGCATTGTCAGCACTCTCCTGTCCCTTTTAACAAAGGTCCACTTTTGTGACTGTTGAACTCAAAATTCTGCCTTTGTGATTACCATTCCGTCGTACTTCTTGTTATTTTTTGTCTCCAAAGATCTTGACCAGGGGACAGGGAATATGCGGGTATTGCATGGTTGATTCTGTGTGGCTCAATTTTTTTTTTATATAGTAGGTGTTGTCTGTGGATGAGGGGGTACGTTTAATTTTTTGTAGCTAAGATTTTTAACACAACAATTTTTATATATATGCTGTAGCTTTGTAATATTTATGTCTTTGAACTCTTTTTGTTTGTAGTTTGTTTCACCCCCAATGATCAGCCGGGTGCCTGGAAGGGCTACCCTACTAAGAATTGATAGAAAAATAGAGAAGATTATTATTCCTGCCACCAGTGAATGTTTGCTTTGTCATTGCAGGAGCCGATATTGAGAATCTGGTGAACCAGGCTGCACTCCAGGCAGCCAGACTGGGCAAAGCTGCAATAGACATGAAGGACTTGGAATACGCCAAAGACAAGATACTCATGGGTAGGTGTAGCTCCGTCGGCTTTCTTCTGTACTGCATGCTTCTTTATGGGTTGTGTACATTTGACACGTCTTGTTTACCTTGTAAGCTTTTGAGATGATATGTAGGAAAAAGTCTTTGTACATTTATTTGAAATCTTGAGATTCACTAAGGCATCACTTAAAAGAATATTTCCAAATTAACTAAAGTTTGAAAGATGTGGTAAATATGGTGATCAACTTTTATTGAAGAATTTGAATTTTTACTTGTTGATCGTCGTTGATTTTTTTATCAAGGGCCCGAGCGAAAAAGTGCTCAGATTGACGAGCACAACCGCAAGATCACAGCCTACCATGAGGGTGGGCATGCCCTAGTCGCCTACTACACCAAAGGAGCAAAGAACATCAACAAGGCTACCATCATGCCCCGGGGACCAACGCTGGGCCACGTAAGTCAACTGCTGGATTTTCGGCCTAGGATGAGAACAGAGGGAATGGAAGACTTTGAGATGCTTGGTGGCAGCAGACAAACCGCTCCTTTTCCAGTTGTGTGCATGTTCAGAACTGGCAAGAAGGACCGGTTTGTTTGCTGTCACCAAGCGTCTCATTGTCTCCCATCCAAAAGAGTGCATTTAGTGCACAAATTATGCATGACCTTTCTGTGCTGCTAAAAAAATTGTGAGGGTCGGAACTGCCAAATTCATGGTGGTTATCTGCCTTGTGCAGAAGCACCCCCTCATCGGTTGAAAAGAGCCGTGTTTGTGGGGAGTGTTCATTTTCGTTGGTAGCCATGCGATAGTAACACTCGCATTTCATAGTTGTGTGAACCAGGGAAGTGCAGTTCCTACTAAAGGAACCTCCATTGTTAGGCAAATGGTGCCCTCTCTTGGTCCCGTTTGGGGCAGATACATCTGAACTCTAGCAGGCTTGAAGGGAAACATGTAAAAATGTGAGGTCGTCCTCACTTCCTCTCTCTTAAGAACAGCCAGAGCATTCTGATTGAAACGTCGAGCTGTAACTCACTGGTTCTTTTCAGAGCCACTTCTCTTCCAAAACAGATATTACCTTGCACGTGCTGCCTCTGCAAGCCCTCTGCAGTTCAGTCACCTCCATGCAAAGCTTCAAATCTTTATTTGTTTATGTCTCAACCTCAAATAGCAGTATTCCATTTAAGTCTAAGAGCTATTTTTGTCAGAATTCACCTGTTTAACTCTGCCCATCAAACGGAGGCATTTTGTTACTTTATCGTGTAATGTGTAGAATTTCTGAAGATCGAAGTGTCAAGTAGATTCAAAGAATTTTTCAGGCTGAAGCTGAAGAAATGTGCCGAGTGTAGAAAACAATTGACTTGGATGTTACTGGGCAAAATGCTGCCCATCTTGCGCACAAACAGCCGCTCAGTTTTCACTTTACATTTTATGTGTGGACGTTCCTACATTGTTATGTACTCAGAGAAAAAAGTGAAATAAACTTTACTCATACTGAGAACAATCTCACGCCAAAAATTTTGCTAAAGTCCCTTGAGTGAGTGTGTTTGGACCGGTTTCGCTCTGCCACAGAGAGAGGACAGAACATTGAGGGGACAAATGGTGTTTCCCTGTCCTCGATGGTCAATCTTTTGGCCTCGGTGGTAGGTGCCTGTGGTTAGTCTGTGCCCTCGATGGTATAGCAAAACACGACTATGTTCGCCTGTGTGTGTCCCCTAATCCAGGTGTCATTGCTGCCGGACAAGGACCAGTGGAACGAGACCAAGTCACAGCTCCTGGCCCAGATGGATGTGTGCATGGGGGGCCGGGTGGCCGAGGAGATCGTCTTTGGTGGTGACAACATCACCACGGGGGCCTCCAGCGACTTTGAGCAGGCCACTGCTATCGCCCGGCTCATGGTCACCAAGTTTGGCATGAGCGAGAAGGTGAGGTGCCTTGGGCTGGAACTCGGAGGCAGGCCCTCTAATTCTCTGAGCCTGCATTGAAGGTTAATGGGACAGTCATCTTCCCCCCCCCCAAAAAAAGATGCGAGAACTAAAAACTGTTGTACAGACAACATAACCTGTCTTGTAGATGGTGCGAACCAGCGTTAGGATCACTGATCGAGATTCAGATCAGTGTGAAGCAAACAGGCCCTGAGAAAGAGAGATATTCAGGGACAGAAACAGGGTTTCTTGTTCTAGATCAGAGAGGCCTCTTATGAGAGGAAAGAAAGCAGAATGTTACTGTCAATTCAACCCTCTCTAAAGATGGTGAAAAGGCAAGCAAAGGTGGTTGTATTCTGTAATGAAAAGATCCATCAGTCCTTTATGGCTGATTTTCTAGATTAGACTGATTATGGTTTTGTGCACATACAAGTCTTTGTACTGTTTTGCAAGAATACATCACGATGGGCAAATAATAAGAAGGAAACGATAAACGTTGATTGCACAGGACACAAGCAGTTGTCACTTGAATGCAGTGTTACTCTTGTCTGCCAGTACCATTGAGTTTGTAATTACATTTTTGGCATGATGGCATGGTCGGGCTGTATCACTGAGATTAATTTTGCTTGTTGTCTACACAGCCTGGGAAAGATCCAGCTATTTTGTTGAAAGTTACTTTTAGGTGGCAAATGTTAACTGTTGCTCTGGATGGAGAGTATTGATTGTTTTTACCGTGTTCTTTACCGTGGCAGCTGGGAGTGATGACATATAGTAACGCCGACGAGATGAGCATGGGAACCGGGCAGAAGCCCAGCCCAGAAACCCAGTCCTTGATTGAGAGTGAGATTAGGGTCCTGCTAAAGGTGAGTCCATTTCAGGAGCGAGTTCAAAGTGATAACTTGCTCAAATGCGGCAGCTAGGAAACGTCTATGCGCAGGTTAAAATGACGGCACACTAGCAGTTAAAATCTCAAAAAATGTTGACTGTCTTTAACCGTCCCACCTTTTTATGGAATTTCGCATGGACTTCTCACTGCACCTGAACAAGTTTATTGGCAATATTGCATAATCTCAGAAAGTAAAGTTACCTACTTTTAATAGCCCTGTTATTTTATTGGGGGGCTGGGGTGATTCCAGTAGGTCACTTAACAGTAGAATAATTCATTGAATTGTACAACATTCCAAGTGATAACACCACTGTCTTATGTACACTTTCCGTGTTTTAACTATCTGTAGTATTCAACTTCACATATGGAAATATTGGTTATTTGCCCGACAAGCATCAGTCGTAACTGATATCACTTCCAGTCACTAGCAAATGTTAAAGTCTTTAGCCACACAGGTTGGCCTAAGACTTCCACATTGTACAGTGGAATCCCCCAAAGCAAATGCCCACTCACTACCACTGCACCATTATGTCTGTCTTTCAATTTTAACGATTACATTTTGTTTTTTTAACTCACCAGGACTCGTACGAGCGAGCCAAGTCTATACTCAAGACTCACTCCAAGGAGCACCGGCAGCTTGCTGAGGCCCTGCTGCGCTACGAGACGCTGACAGCCGAAGAGATTGGCGACCTCTTACAAGGCAAATAGGAAATATGAACCCTGACCTCTGAACTTGAAGGTCATCTTGTCAGGAAAGGAACACAGATCTCTGATAGCAAGGAAACAATTTGTGGAATTCCAGTGTCCGAGACAGATGATTAACTGCATGAAACGGGTCAGGAATTAAGCGTTCCAAAATTTAATGTCAGTGTCAGAGGTCGCTCTAGGTGAAACTGTAGGTCACCAGTTTCAGATGACTTCTAGTGGCATCTTATCATGGAGTTATAAAATGAACTTTGACCTGAGACGTCAGTGAAGGGGTCAAAACTGTTATCAAATTTCCGTTGTGTAAGCCGTTAACCATTTTTATCTGCAGAAATAGCCCCATCTACAAAAGTGATTCACATTTTAAGTAGGTGTAGACATTCTCAAATGTAAATCTTTTGTGCTGTTCTTGAAACAAGTAGAGCAAATAATTAACCAGAAACTATAGCAACATTTAGTCTGGCATTTATAGTTGTGACTGGGGGAATGTCATGGCTTTGCTTGATGCCACATGAATGCCTTTTGGCTGCCAGTTTTCAACTCAATGCGCACAAGTTGGTGATGTCTTCATGTAAAAGTACTGCAGCTGAGTGTGGAGAGCAGTGGTGGTGCTTATCCTTCACTCAACAGTAAATTTCCAACTGCAGATGGTGCATTTCTAAAGAGTACCCTATGAGCCCCGAGCTGGACCAAGAGAGGGCGCAATTTTCATCTGAAATGCACCAGGGGCAGTTGGTGTTAAGTTGGTGTTATTTTCTGTTTTAAATTGATTTTTGTCTAGTTTCACGAGAGGAATATTGTCTCTTTATTTCTGAATAACACGACAAATACCAATTTCCCTGTACCAAGAGATTTAACTACATGTATATCACTTTGTCCTTGACTCTGGACTTCTTTGAAAACCCTTTTCATTTGATGTGTCCCAAGTTCAGACTTTTTTTTTTCTTTTC